GCTCCCTGAAACCTGTATGCTGGGCGTGCAGAAAAGGATGAAGCAGTGAGATGTGGGTAAGTGGGTAATAGGATATACACACAATTGGTAAACGCTGCCAAGTGTTTGAAGTAAACCATATTTATGGATATGGTTAGGTTATGTAATGCAAGTAAAGATCACGGGACTATGAGGATTGCATAGCAACCTCTAGTCACATGGTATGATTAATGTAACAAAATGCTAGCAGAATGCTACAACATTTCATGTATAGTTGAAAACAGAATGCTACGGCATTTTACGAATGAGAATAGAATTAGAAAGTAGTAGAGGTTAAGTAATGCTAAGTATGAATGTAGGATGATGATCAAAAGTTAGGGTCGTCATACCTGCTAATCTACCTGGACTTCCACCAGCTGCTCGATTGGTTGGGACCATGATTCTTCTGTGAACCTAGGGTCTATGTCCTCAACCGGTCGTTGTTGTAACATTCTCGCCTCTAGCTTCCCTGGCTGATCGTACTCGCGTATGGCGTCCAAGTATGCTACTCTAGACTCGTATTGGTTGCTTTTTATTTCCCCTACGCCGTTGGGTATTGGAAACTTGACCTTTTGGTGATAAATGGAGGTTATCACCTTTAGTCCTGAAGGGTCGGCCTTCCAATTATAGCGATATACTGGGAGCCTCCTTTGATTACCACAAAATTTGCCATTGTGGTCGCCTACCTGGGTTTCTCTCCCGCAGTTATCGGCAGCCGGATCGTCCCTTAGGGGATGATTGAGTCCCCCATGATTAGGGGTGGCAATTCGTGTCACGTGTTGTGTTCGTGTCATGTTTTGATCATTTTTTTAAAATTTTCAGTCAACCCGAACACGACCCGTGACACGAAATTTTTTAAAAACCGCAACACGAACACGACACGACCACTTTACGAACTGACACGACACGACCCGAAAATGACCCGTGACACGAAATTGACCCGTGAACCCGAAATTGACACGAAAATTGTATACTTTTATTTAGTTTTTTACATATTAGAAATAACTTAAAATTCATAACACACTAAATTACAATAACATCCATTGAAATTAAGCAAATAATAGTATAAGATTTTGAGTATAACTATCATGATATCACAAGTTCATAATAAAATTTAAAATATGAAATGAAAAATATATGTATTTTTTAGTTTTTTACGAGTTTCGTGTCGTGTTCGGGTTAGGCGTGTCCAGCCCGAAATTGACCCGTATTTTTCGTGTCAATTTCAGGTCGACCCAATTCTGACCCGAACCTCTTTTTTCTCAACCCTAACCCGTAAAATTCGTGTTGTTTTCGAGTCGTGTCGTCGTGTCGTGACCCATATTGCCGGCCCTACCCATGAACCCATACAACGGCCGGGACGTATTTTCCAATTTCTCCTTGGGAATCCCCATTTTTTTTAGGCAGTTAGAGTATAAAATGTCCACCGAGCTCCCATTGTCCACCAGGATCCTGCATATGGTGTAGTTCCCAATAACTGCCTTTACCACCAAGGCATCGTTGTGGGGGAAATGGACCCCTTTTGCGTCCTCCTCGGTGAATGTCACGTCAATGCCACCGAATTTGGTCATTTTGGCGGTGGAGAGTGTCCAAAACCTCTCATGGTATACCCCCTTTGCCCCGTAGGCATAAGTCTTCTGGGACTTCCTAGAATCTCCCCCAAGATATGGTCCCCCATGCATGGTCCTTATGACGCCGACCAGCTCGCGATCTTTCCCTCACCGATTCTCCTCCCGGCGTCGATCGTCATTTTCGGGAACATGACCTCGTCTTTTAGCCTTAAATTCTTGCAGCCTTCCCTCATGGATTAACCTTTCGATTTCATCCTTTAGGTCGGTCCAGTCATTGGTGTTGTGGCCGACGTCACTATGGAACTGGTAGTACTTGCTCTGATTCCTCCGTTTTGGGCCCGACTTCATCGGCTCAGGCCGGCGTAATAAATTTCCTCGTCCAACCTGATTAAATACTTCCTCGACGCCTATAGTGAGCTCGTGGTATGAGTCATACCGTTGGAATGGTCGAGGCTTTTAATTTTCCTTTTGCCTCGGCTTCTTTGTCTCCGGAGGGTTTGGCGTCGACGTGGTCTGCTTCTTTCCATTTCCCCCGCCTCATCGTTTCTGATTATCTTGCTTCCCTGAGGTCGACCCCTGTTCTGGTCCTTTGTTTTTATTGGACCTGTGCTCTGAATCGTTCGCGTCGGTTTCCTCAGCATTGATATACCCTTATGCCCGTGCTAGAAACTCTTTATAGGTGGCCGGAGGCTTTCAGTTCAGGTCGCGCTTAAACGGTGTGGTCTTTTTCATGCTGGACAGGGCCCCCATCAGAGCCTCCCGGTTCGTCATATCTGTTGTAGCAGCAGCGGCTTCCCCGTACCTTGCAAGCCATTCTTCTAATGACTCGTTTGGTTTTTGGTATACCATCGTTAGGTTTTACTTCGGCAGGATATACTTCTTTATCCCGATTAATTGAAGGGAGAAGGATTCCTTCAGCTCTTCCCAACTAGAGATGGACTCTGGTTTGAGTGTCCGGAACCATCTTCGGGCGGAGTCCGTCAAGTGGTTCTGGAATGCTCGGCACATTATCTCCTCCGCATATCCATGCAGAAGCATGTGCCCTGTGTACATTTTCAGGTGGTCATCGGGATCCCCTCTGCCATCGTATGGAGGGATAGTCGGGGACTTGTATTTGTCGGGTAAAGGAGGCGCCATGATCTCTGCGGTAAAAGGGTGGTCGTGAGTTTGGCTGGGCATGATGTCGACGTTGACCACCTCTGCCACCTGTCCAAGATTCTTTTGTAGGTGGCTCACCTGGCTTTTGACGTCTTTCTTTAAGCCGGTGACGTCACCTGTGAACTTTTCTTCTAGGCTCGTCACACGCTCCCTAATGGCTTTAGCCTCTTCCGTAGAGATGTCAGAGCTTACCCCTCTCGAGGCTTCTGCCTTCTTCGTGTTTAGCTTATCCCTCAGGTTCTTGCCTTCTTGCACCGACCCCGAATCTCCTAGGATATTCTTTCCCGGGTTCCGAGGTGGCGCCTCAGGGTTTTCCAAGTCGGCAAGCGCTCTTCTCTCCTGGGTTCGTCGTCTGGCAGCCATTTGTCGGCTACCAAGGGACTTGGACGGTTGAGGTCTTAGGTTATCTCTCCTGGTGTTTTCACTGTCCCCGATCCCTTCCGGGGCACCTTGGCAGTCACCAGCATCCTGGTTCCTAGCCATGGCAGCTCCTAGTGGTCTCGGGGCATCTTCCAAGGGAGGCATGGAATTTCTTCCTTCCAATCGCTCAACAACGGTCATTAGTCCTCAAACCAAGTCGGTCAGAGTGTCCAGCTGGGCTTGCATCTATACTGGGTCAAGCTGCAACATGCCTGTGGGTGGAACTTCATCCCTTGCTGGGGGTTGCTTCCCCTGGTCGGGCTGATTCCTCCCATTCCCACTATTGGTTGGATGCATTGTATTTTCCTCCGTTTGGCTAGTTGGATTTGAAGCACCATTTTTTCTCCTTGGAGGCATGATCGTTTGTTGTCCGGGGTCGAACGTGTGAACCAGAGATTCTGGGTTCGGTCCCCAGTGGAGTCGCCAATTGTTGATGGTCGATTTTCGTCAACAAGACGTTACCGGATTACCCCGCGGTAGCCCCTTGGGTTACCGGTTTGAAACTTGTAGTTTTACTAGATTTGTTCGCATATATTAGTTTATTGTGAAGTGAACGCTATCTCTTTCTGAATAATAACGACAAAGAGATTTTATAGTGGTTCACCCTTCCAAAAAGAGCTACATCCACTGTATTGTATTTCTCTTGTTTTGGTTCTTACAAATTGCATATGTCAAAAAAGGAAGGAGAAAGCTCTCTCTCGGGGGTCTTCCCCCTTTTATAGCCTGCATTCACTGAGCTCTACCCAATGACAGACGGTTTGGACAATTGTACCTTTTCTTCCAAGGGGGCCCATTCAGTCGAGTAGCCTATTGCCTTGTAATCATTTCTTGTTCAACTGACCTTCTCTAAACTCATACGCAACCTTAGGATATTCGGCCGATCTTCTCAGGGGTCTTCCTTGGGATGTGGATCCAGTTGCTTATGCTCTGCCGTCTGCGCCAATGCTAAAATCTGCCGATGGTAGCCTCTCTCACAGCTGACTTTACCGTGTTATTTCGCGCGAACTGGTATCGCAGACCTTGACTGTACATATGGTCGGCGGTCTGAGTTCCCTTATACATTCGGCTCTCATGCCATACGGGAGAGGCCAATAAGGCTCGGACGTCGAGGGCTAACTGACGTGACAGGCATGGGGCCACGTGTGGTCTGATCATTGTTCGACGTGTCGATGTGAATTTTCCCATACGACATCAAGTTTATAGTAAAAGCCAAACCAGAAAGCAAATTGGCATTCCTCAATATCGCAACCGGTTTGCAATCTGGGTGGTTTAGCTTTTTTTCTTTTTTTGATGTGTATGGTCTATGGCGGTGGTAGGCTAGAGTTTGTATTTACGGCGGGGTGATTTCGGCAGTTTTGACAACATCTCGCAACTCCCCTTTGCTTGATTTGACGTAAAATAAGATTAAATTATTACCAAAATACCTTTCTATATGAGGTTACGTGTACTACACACGGTCTAATCTAAAGGATTTAGACGGAAAGGTTATAATTGTCAATGTCTAAAGAGTTTGGGGATGTTTTGTTAATATTAAAAGAATAAAAATTAAATTATCACCTACTAAAAAATAAAAACCATTTATGCCAATTACTCAAGGTTGTTTTAACATATCAGGTGATGAGTAAATTGTCGTGGAATAATAAAGAGGTGAACTGATTTATGGGGGAAAAAAAAGAAGCTTATAAGAAAAGTTTACGAGAAAATACTTTAATTGACCAAGACAAAAATAAGTAAATAATAAATAAAATAATAAATAAAATAACAAAAGGGCGTGGTGGTAGGTAAGTTGGCGGGTAGGTAATGCTTGGCAATATGGCATAGAAAATATAGACGATAGTATATGAGACAAAAGCTCAAAAGAATTCTCAGCTCTAAAAAAAGAAACAACAAAAAAAAAATAAAAACAAAACAGAAACATGGGGATATACTCGGCCGCCGTGGAAGAAATAACATGGTACACGGGACTTTCTCCGGCAGCCTTCTTCACCATCGCAGCTCTCATGGTGGTCGTCTACAAGACAGTCTCTTCCATGTTCGTCTCTCCCGAGGATTTCAACAAGCCTCCCGTCGCTATGTCCATCGAGAAGATTTCTCAATCCAACTCCGATTTTCTCAACAACGTTATGGCCACCACCACCAATTCCCAACCACTTCAGTTGGGAGACATGACCGAGCAGCAACTCAGGGCCTATAATGGCTCTGATCCCAATAAGCCTCTCCTTATTTCAATTAAGGGTCAGATCTACGATGTCTCTTCTTCAAGGTACTTTAAAAAACTACTTTTTCTTCTTGTTTATTTGGATTATATGCAATCTTTTGGGCATTTTGAGCTTGCCCAGAAGAAATTTTAAGTCGATTTGAGCTTTTCAATCCATACTTTGATATGGGGGTTGTTGGATCTGCGTGAATTTTTCCCCCTGCTAAGGGGCTATTTTATCATGTATTTTTCTGTTTTATTTTCTTAATTGTATATTTATAAATAAGAACAAAAATTGTTCTCAGAGAACAAATAGTATTTAACAATAATACTGTAAAAACAAACAGAAAACAATAATATGTTTTAAAAGTAATTTGACTTAAAAAAAAAAAAAAACTTTCCTTTTGAAAACAGAAAACTGTTTTTAAATTGTATGGCGAAACAGGCCATAAAGTGTTTGATAAAATGCGCAGGATGTTCTATGGTCCTGGTGGGGCGTATTCGATGTTTACAGGGAAGGAAGCGAGCAGAGCTTTGGCTTTGTTGTCTTTTAAGCCTCAAGACATTAATGGGAACCTTGAAGATTTGGGTCCCGAGGAGCTTCAAGTTCTTGAGGATTGGGAGGACAAATTCACGGAGAAATATGCCAAGGTTGGGCAGCTTGTGCGAGAGCCAATGCCGGCTGATCAAGCTGGATGTGGAGACGAAACACACGAGATAGAGAATTAGGAATAAGAAACGTTTAGATTAGAATTAGATGTACTTTATAGGGTAATCCCTTTGTATTTGGTAAACTTTATGTTGAGACATTGCATATATGACTTCTTCTTCCGATTGGAAGATTCAAATTATGATTTGAATCATGATTTATAGTTCGTTATAGTATTTTTTCTTACAAAAAAATACACGTAAATAAAAAATAATTTTAATTACATGATTCTAATGCATGAACCAAACATCTACTCAGTGTTTTATTTATTTATTTATTATTTTTTTAATGTAATTGGCTAAAGAGTGGGTCTATTGACACTCTTTTTTTTAACTTTTTAAACATACGTTTTTAAACAACTTCTTATTTTACGTGTTACACATTTTTAAAATTTCAAAAAAACCCTTATAATTAAATCACCTTTAATTCTATTTTTTACATGCACATTTTTAAACCACTCTTGTTATATCTCCTTACAATTTTAAAAGTATTTTTTTTCTTTTTTTTTCATCCAAATTTATCATTTTTCTTTCTCTTATTTTTTTCATATATATGAAATTGAAGTGTTTTTGTTTTTTTTAAGAGAATATGATTTATAAGAACATTAGTTTCCAACTTTTTTTTTGTCATTTTTCTGTGATGTTGTCGTACTATATAAATTAATTTGTTAGATATTATTGCTTGCGTAATATCATAACAATTATTTAAGTCAAACATTAAAAATGATTCAAATATCAATATCTCAAAATAAACAAGTAATTTTTTTCTAGTATCATAAAATAATGACCATAGAAAGTATTATGTACTTTATCGAAACATTATCACAATCAAGATTGATTGTCTCCTTTGTTGCTAAAATAGAACCCACAACTTCACAAATATGTAGGTCTCGTTCATTTCGCCGATTCGAGTTTTGCTATAGTAAAAAGTTTTTAAGAACAGTTATATCTAATTTTTTTGTTACAGTAAAAAATTCTCACATAAAATCACATTTAAATTTAAATTAAAAACTCGAACCTAAGCTTCTTCCCATCCATCTGCGCATGAGTGCGGGATAGGGTGGTCTGGGGATATGAACGCCTATAATAACATTGTAAACGCATAAAGTAGTTAATAAAACGTAAACTTGATTATTTTTTTGAAAAAAGGATTAACCGTGTCAATTAAATTACCTCAACAAAATGATTGCCAACAAAACCGATAGCAATATATTTTCAAGAAAACAATTGGAACGGCTCTGATCTTAATGGTAAAAATATAAGGTATTGATACATTGATAAGTACATTAAGATAACATTGTACTGCGATGCTATAAGATGCTCAATGTCAGGCATAGTCATCCATCGATCACGTAGAGCGTTGCGATAATGCGTGAAATAAACTCATTTACCCTCCCACAGAACCTATATAATTGTATATAATATTCAAGATGTGATTGTAGCTCATTCAATAATTTTTTCGTACTTGAATCCATCCATCCTCACTCATGCCTATCAAATCAGATACTGCTCTAAATCCACAATTACCATCAGCGATAACATCTTTGATATGTTCAATGCATGGCCTCAGTCCTTCCGAAAATGCACTAATATAAGCATCGGAAGTTATTGATTGATTGTGTCCGAGATACCTGCAAAAGTATGATACTAGTGTATATCGTTTTTTAATAAAATAAAAAAAAGTAGAAAATGTAAAATTTACTTTTGTTTTTTTGACATGACAATAGTTGATAGCTCATTTTGTACTAGGTTCATTCAAGAGTTCAGGCCCAATCATACGTCACGCCATGTTATTAGGCTCACTTCGTGGACTCAAGTCACGTTTGGAAAATCTTGTGGGTCCAGACCCATTTGTAGTTTAATTCGATCTAATTTAAATCCCGCTTAGGAGGTTTTTAAAATTAATCAGATTAAATCTAAATGAGTAATGAAGAATTCCCAAAAGCCTTCCTCCCGTCCTTTTAGAAGCCCAAAATTCTTATGTCCACACGTTAAAACTTCTTTCTCTTCGTCAAGGTTGATTCTCAGTGTTTTGACTCCAACGGAGGCTCTACCTGCTCTAGACATGCCTAATGAAGGCTCCCTCCGCAGCAGACATATCTTCCAGAACATCTTCTTCATATTCAAATATGCCTAACGTAGCCTTTTCCGCATCACGCATCCTTTCTTTGAACTTCTTCTCGCCCAGCTCACCATCACGACAAAGCTCACCACTGCGACAAATATTAGGGAATTGAGTCTCTAGTTAATAAATCCCGTTTATCAGTTAATTAATAAAGATATTAGGGAAGGGTTGTTTTGATTCCTAATCGTACCCGCATTTGCCTATAAATACGGTCTTCTAGTTTTCAAAGTAGAGCACACCATTGCATAATCCCATCACCGCACTCAATAACCAAAGTCTCTTCCACCTAAACCGAAAAGAATGGAACCTATCGAAGTCGTCATGCACAACATCTTAGCCGATTATCAGTTGGCTGAGGAGCACCAGTAGGGGATAGTTGTGTCCGAAAAAGTAGTTCTCGGTTTCGCACTGACCGAAACATTTGCCATAGATTGACGCTGCAGGAGGAGACCCTGCAGGAGAACTGAAAGCTTCTTCTGGAGGAGATTGACGCTGCACTCCGAAGTCTTAAGAATCTCATGGATCTGACGCCCTGGGCAACCGGCTGAGAGTAGGGTTGGAACGGCAGACTATTTCCCTTGTGTTTTGCGTTTATTTTCTTTGTTTTTCATTTATTATGTATTTAAGTTTTAATCTATATTTTGTGGCCTGCAACTTTTTGGTTTGTGTTACTATGTTATGTGGGGCCTTTTGTTAACCAGCATACATGTTTATGTTTATGTTCATGTTGTTACTTGTACTTTGTTTTTTACTTGATGGAAATTGTCCACCATGTTCTACAATTGATTATCTACAACATGATATTGTTAGCAATGATATGAATAATACAAAGAAAAACAATATATAACAACTTATTGCAAGAACAAAATATAGAAATTGTTACAATACAAATTCAACCTTTCTATCAAACTTGGAAAACTGAATTACAAGGCTGTTGAGGCATGTGAACCACCTTTCCTTAAAACATATTCGTCCCCTCTATGCAAGTGTTTGAGGTAACGTTAAACATCTGTCTCTCAGGATACAACGACAACGACGGTAGAACGACACACTATCAGAACCGTCTCAGCGAACTAGAATTGTACCTTTCATCTATCACCAAAAATACACAACAAAGGAAAAACGTACAACGAACTTGGAAAAACTAAAGAAAAGCCGAGAGAGAGGAGAAAAGAGTTCTCAAAATTGATGTATTTATTCATGTGGAGTATGACCTTTATATAGGCTTCAAAATTCGGGTGTTACACCAGAGGTTACAGCCCCTGATGAACCTGCTCCAAGGTACGTCCACATTCGGAGGTTAAATGTCCATAAACCAAGCAATAATGATGGTTAATGCTACAGTTTTCCGAAACCTTACACTAATGCAGAGTTAATCATCCACTAACGCAGTAGTTTCGGATTTCAGTTGGAAAAAGTAAAAAGAAAAATTACAAAATGAAGCCCACACGGAGCGCGTTTTTCGGTCCCGCATTCGTGTTCGCAGGCGCACACATTGGGCCCCTAACCTGTTGGGACTAGTGCTGGAACTTTGGACGGGCCGCCCGCGACCGCCTGAAAATACTGAGTTTTTGCCTGAGCCCGAGCCTGACCCGCCCGAAAAATTCAGGCCGCCCACCCGAGCCCGAAAATGCCCTTGAACGGGCCGCGGGCTTATATTTGGCTGCCCGAACTCGGCCGGGCCGCCCGAGCCCACCCGAATAGCACGGAAATTTTTTTTAATATTTTTTAATTTTTATAATTATTAAGTTAGTTTGTGTTAAAATTATATAAAAATCAAAATCAACATTCAACAGACATTATTAACACAATTGAATAAATTAATCATGTATATTCATGATGTATATTAAATTCGTAATTCATGATTGTCTCGTTAAAAACCTTACCAAGAAAAACCCAATAGAGATAAAAACTTGGCAAGGAAAAAAGAGTGCAATCATTTTGTGACGAATTACAAATTTCACAAACTTACAAAGTCATACAATTACAAATACAATGTCAAAAGTAAATACATATCTACAAATTACAAATTTACAATTTAATTTGAAGCTGAAGGATCGTCTTCAAAATTAAATGTTAATCGATTAAATTCATCAATCCATTCTTGGCTTGCCGGCGAAATTGTATCCTGTAGACGTTGATCGGCCCGGTCCCAATCCTTAATGCAAACCAAGGCTTCAACAATATCCCGTTGCAATGCATTCCGGCGTTCCTCAAGTATTCTTCCTGTCGTACTGAAGGCTTGTTCGGATGAAATAGTGGAGACTGAGATAAAAAAATATATCCATTGCCAATCGAGTTAGGATTGGCCAAGTTAATCCCCGTGCCCTCCACCATTGAACTAAGTCAAACGATTCTGCCATACCGTCGACTACTAAGCCTTCACTAAGGTACGCCATAAGCTCGTTGAAGCTGCCGCTGCTGTTGCCACTGCCACTTATTGACGAAGATTCACTCCCAGCTTTTGTTTGAGTTGTCTTCTTCTTCTTTTTCAACCCGAAAATTTTCAAGAATGAATGCGGGTTTTCGTCTTGTTGTTGCGGTTCTTGTACTCTAGGAGGTACTCTAAACCTAATCTCATATTTACTATAGATTGAATATATTTTTTCCTTTATTATTGGATATTGGTCCGAACATTTGATGCCTAAAAATTCACCTAAGTTTTCTAAACCACTTTCTAAACCTTCTAATTTTAATCTAGGATCAAAAATAGTACCTAAACCATACAACAAAGGCAACTTAGACCAATATTTTATAAATTTCTTTTCCATAGAATTGTAGGAACTACTAAGATTGGGTCCTCCCTATATTCGCTAAATAAAATACTAATTCGTAAAAGTTCTCCTAAAGCTAAAGGTTATGTTGGGTAATATGTTACACTAAGTTTTAGAGTCACTTCATGAAACCTACCTACAAATTGATACAAAACTTTGACAATTTGCCAATCATATGCATCTATATGTCCTACTCCTACTTTTACACACAGATAGTTTGTTAAAGCATCCTTATAGGGGATGC